CTTGAACAAATAATAATAATAAACAACCTGCACACATGATGGAACATGGAGGTCAATTGCCACAAAATAAGTTGATTTATACTTGGTAGCCTGAGAAATAGTATCAGGTATTAGTTTGAGCAGTAATAATACCACAGAGTTAACAACGACACAAGCATAATGATATGGTGTTATGTAACAAAATTCATGCATTACTTGCTGTGGCAGTGTCCTCCTCAGCCTATCGTGCACCGCAGGTTTTGATTTTCAATGTCATCAAAATGTTTTATTGTTATTAGTTTGATCTATGTATCTGCTATTCAAATAATAACGTTTGGAAAATAATTAACTGATTTAATTATGCTTTTGCAACATGAAATTATCATTAACTTTGCCGGTTCACGTGTACACAGTACCTTGCTATCAGTGCTGCTCTTTTCTCCCCAACTCGCCACTGACAGGCTAACCACATCGTTTCAAAACAACGTTGGTATGCTCCTTTACTTTTGGTGTTGGCAGTTTCTCCCCGGGGACATCGTTTTCGGTTAAAAACAACGTATCGTTTTCACCCATCTTTGCATAGCTCCTGTACAAAATGTCCGCTTGCTGTCCCCCAAGGGAAAAATCGTAGCACGTGGGTAGTTACGCAAGACCTGTGACGTATAACGCGCGCAGGGTTATTGGCATCTAACTTTGAAAACCAGACACTACCTGCCAGCGTGTCTAGGCAGTCATCGACCAGAGGTAGGGGGTATACATCCTTAACAGTCACCTCATTGAGCGCTCTATAGTCAATGCAATAACGCACTGAACCGTCGCGTTTTCTAATCAGCACGGGTGCCGATGCCCAGTCAGAGGTCGACTCTTGTATTACCCCCGCCTTTAGCATCTTTTTCAGATGCCCCTCTTCCTCCTCGGCAAAACACGCAGGCGTCCTGCGCATTCGCTGTTTGACTGGCCGAGCGTCCCCCGTGTCAATACGGTGCTCGATCTCGGTAAAATTACCAAAGTCAAACTCGTCTTTTGCAAAGACGTCTTGGAAGTCGACTAGAATTTGAGCCAACTGTTGGCACTGTGGCTCGCTTAAATGCGTACATGAGCTCTCATACAGCGACTAGAGGTGCTCTGGAATCACCAGGCACTCATCACAGTCACTGGAGACCTCCACTTGACAAACAGCGGCAGTGACTTCGTTGCACTCCTCAGCGTCCTCAAGAACGCTTTCAACTGTGACCGCCCTCCCTATTTCACACCCCTTACGAAGGAGGCGAAACTTGTCCGAGGGGTTGATCACGCAGACAACGGGGTCGGAGAATTCACTACGGAGAACGCTCGGCACCAGGAATTTATCCTGTGCCAGAGGCTCAATCACGTAATCTCTCATTTCCTTGTCCATAGTGCATGAGATCTTTACCGCTGAATGGGGCGGAATGACGCGCCGCTGGGCGACTTTCACCCGAGCCACGTGGACCCCCTCATCAGAGTCCACGTCCAGCATTATCCGCATCCCATCAAAATATAACATACCCTTACTCATGTCGAGTACCGCTTGACCTAAGTCCCGCAGCATGTCGAATCCTAAGAGCATATCGTGTTCTATGGGAGCGACGTACACATTTTCGCTATACCATTTATGGCCGATCCTTAGCTTAACGGGACCGGCGATGAATGCCGACATCGCCATTTCACGTCCGGCTGTAAGCAGATTAACGTCTCTGACCCGCCTCGGTTTTCTACTGAGAGCGCGATACACATTATCGGAAATAATGGTGACCTGAGCGGCTGTATCTACCACCGCTCGAACAGAGACGTTACCGACCTGGACTGGCACCGCGTACTGCGACGCTGATCGTACCTGGCATACAATCATACTGTCCCGTTCATGCCCATTACCTAAGGTCCCAGCCAACTGCGGGCTCGGGGAGCGACCTCCTACTTCCCCGACCCGTTCTTGTTTAACGCCTTCTTTGGGCAGTTGTTTCTAAAATGGCCAACTTCGCCGCAGTTATAACAAGCCATCGACCTATTTTTGGCCTGATACCGACGGCCGTTGCCCGACTGGAGAGACTTCGTCAGTCGCTCCTCCAACTCTTTCAGAGCTTTAGTAAAATCCACCGATGTCGGGGCGCTAGCGCTTGGCGCTGCAGCCGCACATACTCGAGGATCCTGTTCATCATTTCTGACGGGGAGGCGCTTTTTATCCCTCTTTTCTCCGAAAGCCGCGTGCACCTGTTGAAATTTGCGCACTAATCGTATTGCGTCTTGAATAGACGCCGGCTCGCGGAGGCACACCTCTTGACCTGCTTCTCTATCCCAGAGGCCCTGGCAAAATTTATACACGTTTTGCCGGGAGACGAACTCATCCGGCAACCGCGTAAACGCCTTGCAGCCCAGGGTCATAACCCTGTCTGCCCACTCCTCCAGGGACTCCCCGGCTAACTGCGACGCCTGCTGAAATCGCGTCTGGGCCGACACCGGGGTATCGACATCCCCGAACCGCTCCTTCATCCTCCGAAGCAGGGCCAGGTACGAAACCACACCCTGAGTGTGGATTAGCCGAAAGAAGTCAAGGGCTTTGCCATTGAGGCACCATATCAGCCCATCCAACCGCTCCTCCTCAGTCCAGTCAAGAGACTGGACGAAACGCGTAAACTTTGGTTCGAACGATTCCCAGTTCGAACTCCCGTCGTAGTTAAGTGATTTAGGCAGTGACCGTAGGGGGTCACGCGCCCTGCCCGTCCTAGGTGTTACCACCGGACTGTCTGGACCCCTGGGGCCTTCTGAGCTACATAACTCCGACGATACGCCCTCAGGTGGGCTAAAAATAGGCTGCGATGTTTTTCGCCCCTGATCTGGCCGTCCCACGGTAAACGCCGCCGGGGTCAGCAACAACGGCTTCGGGGCCGGTGCACCTCCGGCAGGCACCACCGGGGGCGCCAACGATTAGTTTAGCTGTTGCAACATTGGGTTGTAAAAGGGGCGCCCAGTCGCTACTGCTCCGCGGTGGAGAAACCTCTGTTTTGATGCCAGACGCGGGGCCTGCATCGTCGCCCTCCGCGTCCTGAAAGCTGGAGTTAGGAGCAAAATCAATCCCCTCCAGCTCGACTGCCGTGAACGTGCGACGGCACAAAGTTTCCAACACGGAGCGCGTGATGTTCCCTGCATTCTCTCGCACTGCCACGAGGGCTCTCGCCAGCCTCGCCCCAACTCCGGGAATCGCTGCGAGCTCCTCGCTGGCGAAATTCACCTGCACAGCCGACACGGCAGGCAGGGAGAACGACGGGCCGGACACGCGCGTCTCACCGAACTCACTCCTTTCCCCCTGATCCCACATGATATAGAAATGAAAAATAATAACTACACACACAGATAAAAGTATTGTATAACACTTTATTATGAAGAATAACTCATAAAAACACCCACACAGATTAAAATATTGTATTTTATTAAAATGTGCGGAAATAAAACCAGCTGGAAAAGAAAATAAACAATGCAGACGTACAAAACACCAAAATAATACACAAAAAGACAGAAAGAGATTTAATTAAGTTATTCATAGAAAGAAAGATAAAAGTTGGGATCGATACGTGCGTTAGTGTGTACTTTAGCAGACGAATTTCGAGCTCCGCTAAAAACGCTATTATTATGGCAATAACTGCGTGCGAGCTCAAGAAATTACACCAAAAGTTGCCTTAGGTTGTTACCAGCACCGCTGCCACCAATATTGTGCCGATGTGCAACTTAAACACACGATCGGGGAAGATATGCTTACCTAAAGGTTTTCTCTACTGCTACAGTGTGACGCTGACGTCGAGAGAGGGGGCGCTCGCTGCGCATGGGCCGACCCCACTACCGGTTCCGGGGTCGGCGCCACTACATATGAGCATAGAAGTTTTCTCTACTTCTATGATATGAGTCATTTTGTTATGATCAGTTCAAGAGAAAAAGAAAAAAGTACATAAACTCTTGAGAAGAAAAGGAATTAAGAATTATTTGACAGCTTGCAATTATAATACTTATTAATTCAGTTTTAAACATGGGCATATATCTGTATTTCCTCTTTCGTTTAACAAAGTTTTCAGGTTAAAGTTTTACAGTTAATCAATTTTAACGCTCTTGAATTTTCATTGATTGCACCTAATTTGTTGTAAATATAGCCTTTACCTGTAGTACTGGTTGATACAATTGAGCAAAGTAAATGAAGCGAGTCAGTTTTCTGTTAGAATGTTGGTACTTTTGTAGTATACCCCCCCCCCTGTAACTTTCTGTAACTTTCACTTTTCAAACAGTTTTTTTACATTTTCTTGTTCATCTGTGTCAAAGCTGTTAAAATAAAATGCTTTTATAATTACCTGTGGTATTTTTATTAGTTTTAATCACGTTTAATCCAGTCCAGTGAAATACTATGTGAAAATCTACAATGCACTCGCAGTCAATAGCTTGCCGCGTTTTCGTTGGCTAACTCTAAGGTAATTTTATGTGAACATAAGGTTGATACATTGTATACTTCGACTTCTTCTGTGAAATTTATTGCTATACTTGTTCACATAAAATTAACTTAGTTAATGACTGCGGGTGAATTGTAGATTCTCACTTTGTATTTCGATGGGCTGTATTAAACGTAATTAAAACTGATAAAAAGACCACAGGTAACTACAAAAGCATTATATTTCAACAGCTTTGACATTGCTGAACAAGAAAATGTAAAAAACTGTTTGAAAAGTGAAAGTTACAGAAATTTTACAGGGTGGGGGGGGGGGGGTATACTACAATAGTACCAGAATGTTCTCTATCAGAGGGGGTCTCTGAAAGTCATCACAATAAAAACTTTGATATCAATTAATTGAGCCATTTGAAAAAAAAAGAAAGAAAACAAATTTTAAAACAAGTGAAATTTCCTCTTACCAAAGTGTAAAATTGAATTCTCCTTTTTTACTCAAACTTAATATTTAATACCCCAACTGCCACATGTGTTGCCCAGTTACCTGTGGTATTTTGCTGTAAATAAACTGTTGTTTCAGAATGACAAGAGAGCTCAGTTTGTGTCCAGCACTTTTGAGTTCCTGCAAGGTGGCTACCTCGACGTCAACATGACCACCTTCACCTACAGGATGGACAGCTCCTTGAAGCTGCAGGAAGGAACAGTAAGAACTAGCGTTGTTTCCTAAATCATAGGACTGATAGAATATAATGTAATATTTTTTGCTGTTGTAGGTGTCTTACATACTTGATATGTGGAACAATTTTCAAAGAAAAAAGCTTAAAATTTTTTTCCTACGTAATTTTGAAATCAAATAAATACATTCTGTGTTCTTGAGTAATTTATCATAGTTATTGATTAAGTTGACCTGGATACCCAAAAAATGCCATGAACACTCAAACTTACTTTGTATTTCAGTTTGGCTTTATCCTGGATAAAAGTAGCAGCAGTGGTATCTCCAGTTACTGGGTAAGTTAACACATATATTAGGGCATTCCCAGAGATTAAGATCGGTCTTACTAGATCGACATAACTCCCTGGGGGTTAACGCTAAATTGCAGTCAGCCGACCGCGCATGGAAGTTAATTACCCCCCTACAGCTTGTAGTAGGCAGGATGGACATTTAAGCTGGATTATCTGACAGTAATCTAGAGAGACTCCACACGGGGATAGATTGATCTAAAATCTATGGGAATGCACCCTATAGGGCACTCTGTGGTATTTCTTGCATGACAGATGGAATCTTTTTAATGGCATTTTATGGGGAAACCCTGATACATACATCTATAATTGAAATTTGGCAGGGGCATTGTATATATCAGCTCATGAGGCTGTCATTTACGGGTGTTTTAAAAAACTTGTGGTTATCACAAATGGGGACGTGCTTAAATGATAACAATACTTACACTGAAATATCAGTGGAACAGTTTAGATTTTCTTTTTTTTTTTCAATATGAAAATGTCATTAGCTATACATCAAACCTCCTAAATTTCCAATTGACTATATTCATAAGTATAAGCAAGTATAATGTTCAAGATCAAAGTCCAATTTATTAATAATACTGTAAATATAGGAAAATTTATATGCCTTCTCTGTTTGTGATAAAATGATAATAATTCATGTTTTCAGGAAAAACAAGAGCAAACAGCTTGTATACTAATGGATAGCACAGATATATATAAAAAGGACAAGAATGTGGCCGTCACCTTCTTCAAATTTGACTTGGATAACAGAAGGTTGGTTTCAGTTTTTAAACTTTGAATATAAAGCCAGGCAAAGTTGATTTAAGTTGATTAAGGAGTGGTAACTCTAGACAAGTTTGGTAGACTTAACTTATTTGGTAGACCTAACTTATTTTGTTTTAGTAGTAAGCACATGGTTTTAAAGGAGCATAGCAGGTACATTGTACTGTCAGTCTTTTCATTTCAGTCACAAGTGATAATTAACAGTCCTGGAGGCTTGGAATCAGGATTCCCCTTTTCCATTTTATTAGATAAGTTTTATAAAATTTTTATTTCATTTTCAGAATCACCATACAAAGAGTTGGTACGGATGTACAGAAGTTGAACATCAAGGTGACTTCTCCAGGGGCATCCTCCTCTCCAGGGGGGTCCTCCCCAGGGGAGTCTTCCCCAGGGGTGACTACACCCACAGGTTCTCACAGCAGAAAAAGAAGAAAGGTAGAAGCACAAGGAACGACAAAGTTCCCTGACAGAGTTGGTAATGACACCAAGACAGTTACTGGAACAACAAAACATGCTCTTGTTAAATCCACCCCAACTACCAAGAAAGTATTGATAACCCCAAGTCCCTCACCTGCCTCAGCCCCTGCTCCCACTCAAAGCAAGGCAGTAGCATCTAGCCTAAGTATCTTCACCAAGTATAATGTTCAAGATTATAGTCCAAATTCAGTCCTGTAACTCTTGGAGTTATAATATCAGTGACTGTTATATAATATATAATAATTATCATAATGCACTTCAAGTTTCATTTTTGTGTAATTTCACTAATGAAATACATTGCTTCATTTCCACTACCAAGAATATTTTCTTCATGGATGGATGCTAACTGTATTAATATCAAACTTTCAGGCAGCCACTGAAGCTCCCAGTGTAACAGAAGCCACCAATGACACAAGTGAGAGCACTGCTGAGACAGCAGCTAAACTGATCAACTCAATACCTTTGAATGAAATAGAGAATGAGAAAGGAGAAATGATTTGGCAGGCTTCTGTAAGTATTGCATTTTTAAAAGAATTTATCTTCTACTTATAAATATTTTTTTTTTGGCAATACATAGTTTTGTGAATAACATGGGTGGAAAATAATAAGTCTGATGAAACTGAGAATTGTATTTTAAGACAAAGACATATATTTCGTTATATTTGAGAATTCATTTTACCACATTTTGTTCATATATATTCCAGTTCCGTGTTGAAATCCATAACCCTGAAGAAGAGGGACTGTATAACTTGTACTTCCACAGCTGTCCTAACACTAATGATGAAGACAAAGCTGCGATCAATTTGACGGTTAGTTACTAGTAGATGAATAAAATGCCATATGGAGCACAATACACTTTTTATAAATCACTGAAAAAACAATGGTGAAAATTTCCAAAAATTTAAGAAGCTTGAATTACATACCCTGAGCTTCATATATGATGCGTTCCATCTTTTATGTTTTTCAACCTCCACATGCCCCCCTTTATCAGACTTTCATCAGTGTGTGTCACTGAATTTTACCACGCAGGTCACATTTGGACAGCTATTTATGAGGTTTTACAGTTGGAAATGTGCCACTTGGTTACACAGAAAGGCATGTGTTGTAGTAAATAGACCCATCCAACATTTGATAGTGAGGCAAATTACATTCAATCACCACCAAAATTTGGATTTGACAAGAGGGGATTCATTAAAAAAATTTAATGTAAGGACTGGAACCGAGGATCAGCTTTCTTAAGGGTGCCCCAATCTGTGACCCCCTCCCTGCAGCCATTAGATGTATTAAAATCTAATTAGTTAAAACTAAAACTAGCTATTCTTTTTCAGCTTCATATTGTGGAGAGGAACCCGGATAGTTTCCTGTCAGTTGGGAATGTGCCACTTCCTACTCTCTACTTCTCATTCTGTGTGTTGTACCTATTGACCAGCTTTGTGTGGCTCTACATGCTCAGGAAGTCCAAGTAAGTAGAACACGGGCTTTTATCAAGGATTCTGCATTTTATGTAGAATATGACAACACAACTTCATGTAGCTTACTCTCTGTTTCTGAAGATTATTTTCCTTACTACAATCATCCCTTTATGATTTGTTATACCAAGATATTATATTTATTTTACTAATTTTTCTTCATATATGTCTGTTATATTGATTTGTTTCTATAATAAATTTCAGTATTCAATATTTGATTTATATGTATGCTGGTGATGAACAATACATATTTTTTATACTAATTTGTTTTATTCCCATATATCTTTTATGTCAATTTATCTATTGCTGGTAAGACAAGTGTTTGTATTGAATGTTTGAGTTATATTTGTTAATTATTAAAAAGATGCACTGCTTTGTTTTGCAGGAGTGAAGTGTACAAGATCCATTACCTGATGTTTGCCATCATGATTGTCAAATCTGTCTCTTTCCTGTTCCATGCTGTAGGTAGACATGAGTGGACGGTATCTTTGTCTTTATCAGAAACTGTAACTGTGTCATTTATAAAGGAACACAATATGATGCATATATATGTTTAATATAAATTAGCCCCAGAAAATAAGTTACTTTCTTATAGGTCAGAGTGTCTGAATGCTATTGCAGTTCATCTTTTAAGATATTCTCTGTAGAAATTTATGTGAAATGACCAAAAGAATCAGTGTAATTTTATATCCAGTCATATAAGGCCATAAGATTGGCAATAAGTAATTGACATGAAATGCATACCATTGCAAATGACTCACTTATATTCATGTTTTTTTATTTTGTACTGATTAAACACTATTCTTTCAGATTAACTACCATTTTATTGGTAAACTTGGTTACCACGAAGAGGCTTGGGCTGTATTGTACTACATCACACACCTGTAAGTAACATTGAACTTGTACATACAGGAACTCTGTACGATTGTTTTACACTCAGCACCACTAGGCACTAGCCCAAGGCAATTGCCTAGCCAAAGAGACACTGAGCTAGTAAAAAAGTTAATATAATTATAGATACTACCAGCAATTAAACTTTTAGACCCTGATTGCCCAAAAGGCAAGTAGCATCACTCTTATGTATCACAGACTGGTAGTACAAAATAATTTTTTTAATAAAAATGTAATAGAGATTACAGGAACATTTATATATTATTTTTTGTAAACAATCTACCAGTATTTGTTTTCTTTTCAGATTGAAAGGTGTCCTTCTGTTCACTGTGATTGCTCTGATAGGCGCAGGCTGGGATTTTGTCAAACATATGTTGTCAGACAGAGACAAAAAAATTATTCTGGTGGCAATTTCTTTACAGGTGAGCAAATTTTTAATTACTTGTTACATAGTCTTACTTTTATACTCTGCTTGTGATACTCTGCTTGTGGTTTGCATAATGATAGGAGAGGATTAAGTCTACAACCTGCAGGGGTTTTCCAAGGGTCCTTAACAATTTTTAGTGCTGTTTCCAATGTCACCAATATCAAACCCCAAACTCTGGTGGACTCTTAATTTATATTTCAAAAATCTATTTTTTTTCTTTAACTGATAGGATGTATATCTTATTCTTTAGAGCTTCACACACAAAAAAATGAAAGAAACAAATATGTGCAGGGGGTACTGATTATGTCACGAGAAAAAGATGATAAATCCAATGGTATAGGCTCTCTAATAAGAAAANGTACAAAATAATTTTTTTAATAAAAATGTAATAGAGATTACAGGAACATTTATATATTATTTTTTGTAAACAATCTACCAGTATTTGTTTTCTTTTCAGATTGAAAGGTGTCCTTCTGTTCACTGTGATTGCTCTGATAGGCGCAGGCTGGGATTTTGTCAAACATATGTTGTCAGACAGAGACAAAAAAATTATTCTGGTGGCAATTTCTTTACAGGTGAGCAAATTTTTAATTACTTGTTACATAGTCTTACTTTTATACTCTGCTTGTGATACTCTGCTTGTGGTTTGCATAATGATAGGAGAGGATTAAGTCTACAACCTGCAGGGGTTTTCCAAGGGTCCTTAACAATTTTTAGTGCTGTTTCCAATGTCACCAATATCAAACCCCAAACTCTGGTGGACTCTTAATTTATATTTCAAAAATCTATTTTTTTTCTTTAACTGATAGGATGTATATCTTATTCTTTAGAGCTTCACACACAAAAAAATGAAAGAAACAAATATGTGCAGGGGGTACTGATTATGTCACGAGAAAAAGATGATAAATCCAATGGTATAGGCTCTCTAATAAGAAAATTCTGATTTCCAAGACAAAAAAAATTCCCTCCTACTGTCTCTTTAACTATGCTCAGTATTGTACAGTCATCATTTTCCATAAATGAAGTCATGCTTTTTACTATATGGAGATATACTGGTCTGTGTTTCAGGTTTTGACTAATGTGGCACAGATTATATTAGAAGAAACTGAGGAGGGCTCTCAAGTGTACTCTTATTGGAATAAGATACTCATCATAGGGGACTTACTGTGTTGTGGAGCCATACTTTTCCCTGTAGTATGGTAAGTTGATCTCTCTCTCTCTCTCTCTCTCCATGTTTTGTAATACAATACAATTTTTAAAATCACACATGATATGGATCACATGGTCTCTGTGTGCACCTTTTAAAAGACACTCACATTTCATTTCTAGGTCAATTCGTCATCTGCATGATGCCTCACAGACTGATAGAAAAGCAGTCACGAATATTTGTCATCTGTATGATGCCTCACAGACTGATGGAAAAGCAGCCACGAATTTAAATAAACTTAAATTATTTAGGCATTTTTACATTATTGTGAGTATACCCATCCAGGATTAGCTAGTTGACAATTTACTGTAATTTAGTCAGGTATTCAACCGTGAAAAGCTCTTCCCATGCAAGTTATATTTAGAGAAATTAGAGGTTGAAAATTTTACGTTTGGTTTTTACATATTATTACTGATGTTACAACTATTTATATTTAAATATTTATATTTAATTTTTATGCTGATTTATCACTTAATTCTACCTTTCAGGTTGTCTGTTATATTTATTCCACCAGGATAGTTGCATATCTATTAAAGGTAAGAGTTCACTTCTTCAGGTAGCTGTTATTTGGTTAAAAGTTAGAAATAGTATGATTTTACATATATGGCAGAGTCTTTGGAATTTTAAAGGCAAATTGTTTTATGAAAATGGGTATAAAAAGGAGTTTTACCCAGTGGGAGGTTCTCATCTCTAAACAGTAACACTCTGAACTTTGGGGTCTGGTGGACTTGTACTTTGCTGGTTACTTTCAAATTATTATGACATTTCAAGTTATTATAAATGCCCGATATGTAGACTGTTTTACTTTTGCCAACAATACATATCTGTTGATTTTCACAATTATGGCAGTGGTTGTATTTTTAGTCATGAGTTGGTGTCAGAAAGAAATTTTCCATGGTGATTGATTTTAATATGTTTCCTCTCTGTTTTAAGATCTTAGTACCATTCCATTACTCATGGTTCTCAGAGTTGTTCATTGAGTTGGCCACATTCATCTTCTTTGTGATCACTGGCTACAAGTTCCAGCCAGCTGATAACAACCCATACCTACAAGTGCCAACAGAGGAGGACGAGGAACAGCTGGAGATGGAGGAAGTGTGAGTATGGAGCTCTTAGAGGGAGTGGGGGTGGGGGGGTTAGTTTGGGTGGTTGGGGGAAGGTAAGTGTACTTGCAAGTGGGTGGTATTCTTAATTTGTATAAGGCCAAATGAAGAGTTACTTCTGATGAGGAGCACCATGAGTTTATGTTTAATGGAAAGATGTCTGTGGAAACGATAAAATTTGGGATGATTTTTTCTTTTTTTTTTTTTTTTTAATTTCAAATTACATATACTTTCTACAGTTGAAATATATAGTTTTAAGGAAGTAAGAGTTGAGCCCTTTTTTCTTTTTTTACATCACAGAGTGCTCTGAATAAGACAGTGCCTCTTTTTCAGTCTGACCCACACTGGAATGTACGACACTCTTACCAAGGTCAACATAAAACACTCTGACAGAGATGACCACGAGGTCACACAAGACAGGCCACAACCCAAGCAGAGAGAGGCCAGACTAGTAAAGGCAATCAGCATGGTATATCCAGCAGTTTTAGTCAGTATTCCCCAGTGTTGACAGAGAATTGGATGCTAGACTGAGATGATATGCAGGGTTTCCGTTAGCGCAATATTTGTGCGTCCCTGACGCTTTTTTATCAAAATTGACCCCCATTTTTAAATGTATTGCGTCCATTTGACGCACATTTATCTCATTTATCCAGCGAGTTTTCAAACTGGCTGGGAATGTGTAAATACAAGGAATTCGTTTTTGTTTCCTTTCTGGACGATATTTTTACTTCATTCGAAGAGACGGGATGAAAATTCCGGGGAGTTCCCAGCTAATTATACATAATTTATTAACCTCAGTTTCACTCACATATACTATTTTCTGACTGGCTGAGATTGGGGATGACGTAATATACAGTCTCGTTTTCGTTTCCGTGATACCCTTACACCACAAAATGGCCGCACACATGTGCTCACGCTTCTCGTGTTTACAGACTTGTTTTTACAGACTTGTTCCTCTGTTTCTTCATTATCAGTTGTGCACAGTAGTCATGGCTAAGCCTTCTGTTTAAAAAATGACGTTGTTGAACTTAAAATACTTCGTTGGTGCACAGCGTAGCAAAAATGAAAACGAAGTGAGGAAGAGAAACGGATTGATATTGAAATTGGAAAGAAGGTGGGCCCCGGCGGACTTATAATCTGGAGGAGAGGAAAAAGGTGTGTGGAGTTAATATTATTATCAACAGCAACATAAACCTTACTGCTTTATTACGGGTTCTGAAAATTATCGAGCATATGTATGTCTCTTCTTCCTGTCTATCATACACCTGGACCAGTAGTGGTTTCTTTAGACGTACTAGTATATGGACAGATACAGATGTATGTACCAGTACATGCACCCTACAGTTCACGACCACTAGTTGGAGAAAGTGCACATGAACTCATTGAAGGCTCACAGTTTGAATTTCTTGTTATCAAAATGAAATAAACTGAAGAAGGAATTTAGACTCAGGGTGGACAGTCCCTATCAAAGTTTCAATTGTATGAAAGCGACCGCCTTACTAAGCGGTTTCACAATGCATATGTTATTGCCAAAAACAACGGGTGAACTAGTTTTCTGATTAACAGACGTTTTTATGGACATACGTTTGATATTACTGGCTACACATTCTTCATTATATTTTTTATGTACAGACACAGATGTGTCTGTACATATTGCCATCACCTGCGTCTGTCGTCGCCGTCGCCGTCGCCGATCATGTCGCCGTCGCCGTGCACTTTCANCTTTTTGTCTGTACATTTGACAGCTTTGCTGCCTTGTTAGTCCTTGTGTCAATTTACAATGCATTTTTCATTAAATAAAATAAAACTTGTTATGCAAATAATTTTTTGTCTATATTTTTTCTACAAGTTTATATATATATATATATATATATATATATATATATATATATATATATATATATATATATATATATATTAGATTTAATGTCAAAGATTAAAAACGTTAAAAAATACACCTGAAAACATAAATAATTTGTCATATTTGTATTACTTTACTTCGGTCTGAGAGATTTTGTTTCAGTCTGACAGAATTTTCAAGCTTGTCAGACCGAATGGGCCTTCGATAAAGTCTGTAAAATTTGTAAATGTCAATAAAATTCAGAAAGTTCCATTAGTGACATTCTTTAAATGGCCTACACCCACAGCTTTCACATGGTATGGTCTGTCATTGATAGGGATGGTCTGGTGGCAGAGTACCCCATAAATAACACTTATGACTTTTGTTGTTTTTATTGCTTGTAATATTTATTTCAATGTTATTTCAAACTTATGAATTCTTGACCCCTAAATTTTGAAAATGACCCCCATTTTTAAAAAGTGGGGGTCAAAATGACCCGTGCATGCAAAATCTAGTGGAAACCCTGGATATGTATTGTGTTGAAAAGTAAAAATTGTGTGCAGCAGCACCATCCCTGTCAGGCTGGATGATGTGTTAACTTAACACTTGATGTATACTTGATTGGAAGAATTGAGGGAATGGTAAAAGCCCAGTATATAAGGCGTTGTAAAAGATGGCTCCATCAGTCTTTATGGAAACATGTCAGTCAGTTAATCTTTATAGTACTTTTATATATAAGAAAATTGTATTTAATTTAATTTAATACAATTTAATTTAATTAAATTTAATAGATGTCTTTTTTTTATTATTTATTTTTTGGGAATGAAAGTCTGCTAACAATAAGAAAGAATGTTCAGAATTAAGTGGAAGCAATGTTCTCAAGTTTGACAGTGGAAATCATGTCCCATATTTTACCCAGCAGGTGACAGAGAATCTGTGGCGGAACTCATACCTATTTATTCCTAAGTGTTATTGTGGCAGGCTTAGGAGGGAATGGCAATATATATATAACGGACTGAGGGCTTGCTGTGTTTAAATGTGATACTTGTAGTAGTACATGAAATATTAGATATAAAAGGAATTGTTTGTTTTTGAGTATATTTGAAGGTACACATAAATCATAGTTGTTTGTCATGGTTCTTTCTTGATACCCAGAGCTGTTGGAATCATTGTATGTAAAAATGTAAAAATCTTGTATGGCATAACAGGAGACATTTTAACATAATCAGAAGCAACTGATATATCAGATTTTAATTTCTCTCAGAAAATAAACAAGCTTGTTTTGTTTTACGTAAAAGTAATGCATTTTACATGGTTTCTTTCGGAGTCCCAGCAAAGCCATGCCATTAGTCTGTGTAAATGAATTTGTACTTGAAAGGTTCAGGCAGAGTTATTCCCATACCACAAGTTTTACCCACTCTATTTGTTTCTCTTTGAAATAGCAAAACTATATTGAAACGGTGTCTTTGTTCATGTAACTCTATCCTGAGAGTCAGAATTAACTAGAAACTCACGTCTGTCATCTCCACGCCTGTCTCTGTGTGTCTAGATACAGTACCTTGCTAAATTCAGGGTATATCAATAGTTTGAGAATACCTTTGCAGCATCTCTAAGACCCCATTCCCATAGATTTTAGATCGATCTATCTCTGTGGGGAGTCTCACTAGATTACTGTCAGCTTAGCCGGCTTAAGCGTCTGTCCCGCCTACTGAAAGCTGTAAGGGGTTAATTAACTATGGTGCAAGCTCGGCTGACTGCAATTTAGCGTGAACCCCAAAGGAGTTAGGTAGATCTAAATCTAAATCTCTGGATCGATCTAAATCTCTGGGAATGTACCCTAAGATACCAGCCCATGCTTCCTGCCACCCTGTTAGTCATCAACATATTTGAAATGAATGGCATATGTTTGTTGGATAAAGAGAAGGGGGTGGTCTACGCTATGTGTTGAGATCAAGTTCCCCTGCCTGTAGCCCATCTATTGTTTTGTTTATTTATTTATATATTTTGTGTCCCACCAAGGTGTTTGCAGAATGTACAGATTGTTCTTAGATAAATATGGTAAAATAAACTATAACCGATTGAAAGCTTTTATTTTGGTTGGTCAGATGTTTACGCTGGTCATCAAGCCATGTGGTCAGACATTGTCGTTACTGTGAAAAGAGTTGATGGGGGTGGGGGGGTGTGGGGGGGGGTGGAGGGATGAGTGGTGCACTCTCAAGTAATAAGAATGCATTTTCAACCATGAGACTTATTATATTCTAAAGGAGTGTAGACAGTATATGCTCATTTTTGAAGTTTTTAAGAAATGTTTGCAAGCAAATAATGTCAGATTTTTCTTCCCTGGTCCATCACAGATAGTATTGGGGTACACACATGAACTGGTCTGCTACAACTGCATGTTCATTGTTTGACAAATATTACAATTCTTAGTTCTCTCAACCTCAACAGAAACAAACACTTTGAAGTTTGAAATATTATTTAATTACATACATTATCTGCACCTTAAACATTCTGTACAATTTCAATCATAATATAAGATTTTCTTAACAGAAGTAGGCCTACTTGTTAACTTAAAAAATTTCTAGTTTAAAACTTGACCACTGCTTTTATGATTCATCACAGCATATGCTCCTGCATTACCAGAACTTATTTTGGCATGTCTGTTTGCACCTTTCTTAAATTATGCTCAGAACTGAACCAAAATTCAGGAATGGAATATTTGTTTCTTTACAGTGGTTAAAGTAAAGCATTTACAAACAAAAAATTTGGATTATTATTTACATCAATAGAAGCATAAAACGAGCTAATTCTAAAAGATGAGATTCTATAAAACCGTTAATTGTGATAAAGTGAATTAAAAGTGATGAATTGCGATATATCTGACTCCAGCCCTAATTACAATTATTATTATCAACCTGATGATACATCAAATATTGAAGCAAAAGCAGTTTCAATGGTTTTCACGACAAAATTAATGAACGCTATGATTAGTGCATTCACTGAAATGAAAATGGTTATGGCAAGTAAATAAGATGATTTAAGTAGCATTGCAAGTATTGCTTAGCTAGGGCATTTAGCACACGTCTAAATATTGGAGTAGCAACTCATTATAAGACATAATATGTCAATCCAACCCCTAGCGTCACTTTCCGCTACGGCAGGACAGACTGTAACCCAGCTACAGTCGCCGCGAGAAGTTTTCCCTCCAGTATCGCCAACCTGACAAAGACGCTGCAGTTCTTCGCCAGTGAATTTGGCTTCACGTCTCGAGAAACGGTGGCTCTGTTGGGGGCCCACACCCTTGGAGAAGCTCACCGAGAAAACTCTGGATTCCGGGGCAGGTGGGTTCCTAGGAAAGACTCCTTTGATAACGACTACTTCGTCAAGCTGGCTGACGGGGGTGGTGTTAGCTGGAGTCAGACGAGTTTGCAAAGAGGAACCCTTTACCAATGGGACGGAGACGACGCAAGTGGACGCGGGCACATGATGTTGAACAGCGACATGGTTCTGTACAGGGATATCAGCCCAGATGCCACTACAGGCCAGACCCTGACTTGCCCTACGAACCCAGCCCTGTGCCCCTATGCCGCTACCAAGGACATTGTAGAGGAGTTCGCAGCCAATAACGCCGGGTGGATGGCGGAGTTTTCCGACGTGTTCGAGAAGATGATCGAACACGGGAGTACAAACCTGCAGCTCCCAGCATAGGGGTTATATATGGCGTTAGCCCTACCAACGCCACATATACTAAATTATTTTGCTGCTGAAAAGATACTTTATTTATTGAAAAACTAGAAGGTTGGTTATCAAAAGATATATATAGTTATTATGCACAAAACATGACGTCGTGGATAATCTGTCAGCTACAATAATTTAACATAAGTAGGCCTATGCTATATATTTTAAAATTATTTTCATCGTTTAATTGCTAATCACCAAAATTAATTCCATAAAGTTTTATTTATTCGGTTTATATACTAATCTTATCAAGTAGATTGATCAATTTTATTTTTGGTTTACGTTTCTTTTATCACCAACTTTATGTGGTGTCATTGTTACAATATACATTCCTCTTAAAAACAAAAGTTAGCATCTGGTATTGTTAAACATTTATACTTAATTAATGTTTCGAAATAAAAACCGTATGGGTTACATTAACTGAAAAGTAAAATTATATAAATATATATATATAGAAATAAACCAGTTGTTTCCTTTCTCTTGAAACAAAATTTTCATTGATTTAAAATTCGAGACAAAGATCCTGGATGGGAGAGCAGATGGGCTTTTAAGACGGTTTAAACAAGGTTTTGACAAGGTTTTTATAAAGAAACTAGAGATGCTTTATTATGTTTTTGGGCAATTAATGACTAAGATCAGTGACCAAGGCGTGTGTGTGTGTGTGTGTGTGTGTGTGTGTGTGTGTGTGTGTGTGTATGCTTGGGGGGGGGGGGTCACAATATTTTTTTATCAAAGTTAGTCCTTACTTTATAACAAACATTTGATCCATTTCGATTCGGAAAAAATGCGCATGAGTAATTGTAGATTCAAAACATATGCTATATAATTCTATTCATTCATCTCTTGTCAAAGTAGACTTAAATTGGTGTCAAGTTAAATTTCGACCAACTTTTGTTTGGTGGCCACGGACCAATGTTAACATCAAGCTTTTCCTTTTCCATTAATTTGAGCGGGGGCGTCTCGATAGTCCGAAGGTTCATTGGTCCGAAAAGTGGTAACATTTTCATCGATTTTTTAATCAAGGGTTCATTGGTCCGAAGGTTCTATAGTGAACATTCGGACCAATGAACCTTCGGACTATTGAACCTTCGGACTATCGCTACGGCCCCAATTTGAGCCATTGCATGCATGTACGTGTTTTTTTTTTTTTTTCCTTTTTTTTCAGATCAGATAAAAGTTGCATTGGACTATCACTGTAATCGTTTATTACAAAAGAGTTTGATTCACCGAAAGAAAAGGGGAATATACAAACGAATTAGAATTTTACAAAAGATTTTGTTAATTTTTTTCTTATTTAGATAAAATCATTTTCATAAATAGGCCTTCTTTTCCCGGTTAATACCGACTCCCAGCAACCTTACTATAGGCCTATACGTGCTTGCTGATAGCTTTAACATTTGCCTCACTTTTTTTGTCTTCGTAACTTTTTTGTCCTGGTAACCGCGCGGTATAGGCCTACCATGTACTTGGCATGTTTTTTGTAAGACCGAAAACTGCAGCAAGCTTTACTTATGGAACGCAGCAATTATTTTTCAGTTTATATAGCCCTACTCTGCTTCATATAGGCCTACCACCAGTCGACGAGTAAGGCCTTACACTGAGAAAAGCCAATAGATATCTACTTCCTTGGCCAAAGCATCAATCGCAATCATAGGGCTTAGCCGCGTGCTTATTCATTGAACATCACGAAGAAGTATGCTTATCAAAGCTTCACGCGCGTCACTCTCTACTACATTTCAAAGATGGCCGATCAAAGGCTGACAAAATATATTTTGCGGATAATTTTTCTTGGTCTTGTCATATTTGACGAAAGTAGGTGCAGGAATCACACACTGACGATAAAGGTAAATGATTTATTTGTGTGATATGAATTTAAACGTATAGTTTAACACTGCAGATAGAAGAACGATTCAGACTAATTCAACCTCCAGCTGCTTCCACGTAGAGCATAGTGACAAACGTGTTGTATGAGTCATTTTGTTATGATCAGTTCAAGAGAAAAAGAAAAAAGTACATAAACTCTTGAGAAGAAAAGGAATTTAGAATTATTTGACAGCTTGCAATTATAATACTTATTAATTCAGTTTTCAACATGGGCATATATCTGTATTTCCTCTTTCGTTTAACAAAGTTTTCAGGTTAAGGTTTTACAGTTAATCAATTTTAACGCTTTTGAATTTTCATTAATTGCACCTAATTTGTTGTAAATATAGCCTTTACCTGTAGTACTGGTTGATACAATTGAGCAAAGTAAATAAAGCGAGTCAGTTTTCTGTTAGAATGTTCACTATCAGAGGGGGTCTCTGAAAGTCATCACAATTAAAACTTTAAATCAATTAATTAAGCCATTTGAAAAAAGAAAGCATTATATATCAAAATAAATTAAATTTCCTTAACCATATTGTGAAATCAAATTATCCTTTCTTACTCAAACTTAACAATTAATTTTCCCAACTGCCACATGTTGCCCAGTTACCTGTGGTATTTTGCTGTAAATAAACTGTTGTTTCAGAATGACAAGAGAGCTCAGTTTGTGTCCAGCACTTTTGGCTTCCTGCAAGGTGGCTACCTCGATGTCAACATGACCACCTTCACCTACAGGATGGACA